CCCCTCGTCGTACTCGTCAAACATCGCCACATAACACGACGGGATGTCCAGCTCTCGCACGTTCACGAACTGACGCCACATAAAGTCACCATGCTCACGCGGGATCTGATTGCGTACAGCCTTGGGCACCCAGTTGCCCCACGAGAAACCCGCAAATAGAACCGGCTGATAGTCTTTAGAAGTGTGGATTACAATGATTTTTGTAAATTAACATTTGAATATTGAAAAATCAATTTTAAAATTATATTGCCAACATTTATTTTCGATGGATTTTCGGGGTTATAATTGTTTGGCAACATTATTTAAAAATTGTATGACATTATATAGTACACACAATTATATTCAGTAAGTATGTAGTCGTACTAATGTCATACACTCACTAAGCAATGTTGGCAAACACGCATAACCCACCGAAACACACCGAAAATAGACCCGGAGTACTACTAACCTATTTTAAGCTCATTAAGGTGCTTGTAGTCGGCCTCCAATGTCGGTTTATAACCCTCGGCACCCGGAACGCCCCCGAATCGGCCGACCGCCCAGGGCTGCAACATATCGAGCTTCGTGAAGACGTCCTTCCAGGCGCTGGTGTCGGAGCGCCACTGGGTATCCACACCGCCAATCACATAGAGACCCCTTTGCTTGAGCTGCTCGATGACATTAAGCGCACCCTTCGTGTCCTGCGGCCTATCGTTGAACCCGAAACCCCAGACGCAGACCACGGGTTTGCCGTTTTGTTGGGCGTAGGCCTTACTGGTGGTCAGCCTCTTGATGTTAGTGTCGTAGTCTTCAACGAGTTCTGTGGCGAAGTTATTCCAACCGCTGATATCCCACATCACGTAAAACTTGGGGCCGTGAGCTTCGGCCCCAGCCCTCACGTTGTCGGCGATATCGTTGAGCCATTTGGCGTAACCTGGATCTTTTTTGGCGTCGCCTGCAAATCGCTGCAGAGCCGCCGTATCGATGTTGTTCTGGAGGTTAGGTAAGGGAGGTTTCACTCATTAGGTATCGTTTGGTATATCTAGTTTCTAGAGGCATAACCAGGATCTATTTTGATCCATGGTCGTTGGGGTTTCTGGGTTATGTTGTTTCCTAATGATTGTAGGCTTTTATTTGCTTTCCAAATCTCATACACTCATTGGAAAATGATGGTCACGAACTGCCATCGAGAATAAACTGGATAACATATGGTTAAGGATATCTGTGCCCTTCGTAATCGTAATGTGTCAATTTCAATTACAAATAAATTTCAATTAACTACGGTATAGGTAATAAAGGTATTATAAAGTATACTAAAAAATTTAACTACATTGGAAAGTAACAATATTAGAATAGGATCTGCCCTGACACATATGGTGATGTAGATATTCACCTCATGCATCCATTTGAAGTGTGTGTCCACAGTTTGGTTGTCGTACGACGAGAACAACGTAGCCGGTTGTCCATTACCGAGGTTAGCGTAACCCGTTTGGTAGGTATGCGTGTATTCTCTAACGTCTGGCCAAATGTCAAACTTTTGGTGGTCTTTGTAGGGGTGGTCGCTGTGGTCGACCCAATGGATCCAAGCATCGCGCGGCGATTTATCCCCTTTAGCGCCAAACCATCCCTGGTATCCGACCGTCAGTTTGCCGACAACGTCGCCGACGGCACTGGAGGCCAGTAGTGGTGTGGCCGCCGACAGGCATACTATGAGCGCTATAACTGCACTAGGTGCTTTCATTTCACTTTCTATTATTCAATATACAGGTGAAAAATGATCAATAAATTTATTGTTTTTATTTATATAGGTGTATTTGTGCGAACCATGCACCTGTTTCATAATTAATCTTTCGCAATTAATAAATGGTACACCCCATGGTGTACTGTACTGTACATGTATTTAATGGATTTTAAGCTAATTTTTAAAATAACCCATTTTATTGCATAATTCTAGTTTGTATTATAATTTGTTAAATGAAAAGCCAAATAATTTCATTCAAACTTTAATATAATTAGTAATTAATTATAATATAAAATAGTACGGTACATGTATTTATTTTATACGGTAATAATTAATTGTAACAAAAAAGTATAAATTAAAAAGTTCATGCTGTATTAATAAACATAGTTATATGAACTACAATACTAACTAATCTTTAACTAAAAATAACTCTTAATCCTGATGAAATAGCGCTTTAATGATAAAATGCAAATTATAAATTTAGATATCGCCTTAATATTTATAAATATTAATTTATGAACATAAAAATAAATTACTATACAAAATTTATAAATCGTGTTAAGTAATCAATTAGTATAAACTAAAAATCAATGACAAATTAAATTATTGTTCCTTTTATGAGTCTGACAAATAGCACCTGTGTCTTTTAGATTATAGATATTTAGAAATAATCTGTGGTAAACAATATTATTAACACTAATTAATATAAAAGATTATTACTAACTTAAAACCCATATGCCAGTTCATTTATGGGATATAAGTACTTAAAATCCATTTGCTCCTTAAAATCATTTATTAATATAAGATACTGTATTTTTGTTCTTGGTGATAACATTAGATTTATCCAAATACATAGTAAACAGCCAACAATATATATATATCTAACTATTATTGAACAGATTGTTAATCAATTTGGCATAGTTAACCACTTAGCATTATAAGTTAAAAGCATATAAAGGTACAAGGCTAAAGTTTTAGTTAAAAACAAAAGTAATTTACGGATACAGTATGTACTTACAATTTGTTACAAACTAAGCAAACATAACACTTGTGTATTGGTATTAAAATTATGGAACGATCCTAAGTAAGATTAAAAAAATTGTTCAACTCAATTTATTAATTGTAATAGATTACCTTTATATGAAGCAGTCGCAGTATTCGCAAATATATACCCACATATCTGTTTATATAAAAACAAAAAACTTTTTTTAATCAATTCATACCGTGTATTGAAAAATAGAAAGTAAAATGAAAGTGCCTAGTGTAATTTTAGTGCTCATAGTATGCCTGTCGGTGGCCACACCACTACTGGCCTCCAGTGCCGCCGGCGACGTTGTCGGCAAACTGACGGTCGGATATCAGGGATGGTTTGCCGCCAAAGGGGATAACTCGCCGCGTAATTCGTGGATTCATTGGGTGGAC